TTTCTTGCATCGAACCCGTATATGGTATAAGGCAGAAATCAAAAAGTGGCTAAGGCTGGGTCAATATTTCGAACGAGCTAGGTTTCTCTAATTATGAAGATATGAGATTTGCAATGAAAAGTTCCCATTACTTTGACCCTAGTATATGCACTAAGTTGGATCGTAAATTAAGCACTCAGAGTATCCTGATTTGACTACCACATTATTACCTACCATTTGATTCAACTGGCTTGGCATCGGCAAAGGCGGGGCTTCGTGACCTAATTAAGGCTAGGTAGTGATCAGAGAGCACTCGCGCGAGAGAGACGCAGGTGCGTCGCGGGCGCGAGCGGCCTCAGTTAGATCACAAAACCCCGCCCTAATGGTACCAAGCCAGTTGAATCAAAGGTTACATATAATTGAACTCTTTGCAGTTTTTCAAATGCATCACATAGAATTTTTTTTGCTCTACCAAATAATATTATCCACATTTACATATCTACTCTGCCGTGAAAGCGTAAAGAACATGCATCAAATTTCGGACAGTTTAATGTCTGGGACAACAGTAGGTAAAGTCGCTTGCACGAAATCGCCCGGGTTGCTGTAGGCTGAACCACGCGAGCGTGCCTGCAACGCGGCTATCGAGTACGGGCGCCACAATGACTCATGCTCGCGAATGCCAATGTTAGCGCGCAAGACACACGCGCGCGGGTGCTCAGTCCGGGCGATTCTGTGCAGTCAACTATACACTCACTGATTTAGCGCTATTTTCTGAATTTGAAACTGCATTTTAGCAGGAGAGTTGCCTCAGCAGTACATTTATTCGGGTAATAGGTCGTCAAAAGCGGATGTGGTACAACAGAAAACGATGCTAATTGAAACATCAAGTATAACATAATCTCCTTTAACCTTACATCAGTAAAAAAATGTGGTACTCTTTCAATACACAAAAGAACGAGGCTCCATGCTTAATTGTTGATGAATCCTGACATAATTAACTCGTGAGTGCATTGAACCATTTAATGAGAAGCTAAGTCTTGGTGCCGCCACCTTCGTCAAAGCGCGGCCGTCCCGGAATCGAGTCGAGCCATCAGGCAGCGCAGAGCCTTCACTGTAAGTAAAAAAGCAGAAAGTTGTCGATAAGGATAGTGCAACACTATCGAACGTGAGCATACCTAAAATCTTATATCATACAGGGTGTCCCAATAGAATGTGCCTTCTGAATGATTGTTCATAAATCTCTTATCTTGGAGTCTTTCAAGAAGCTTTTGGTACCATTTTGTGGAGCTAGCTTCAACTGATTTGCAGTATAAAGCAAATCGCTGATCGCTCTTCATTATTGCACATTACGATAGGTTACTTTGAAGGGTTTTGAGCCATGAAGCGCCATATACTGTCTCAGAAAGGAGACAAAGTGACCTAAAAACTTTCTTCTGGGCTAAGTATAGATGCTGAATTTAGATACGAATTTGGCATCCCATCATAGATTCCTTGAAAAGTTACGCCAGAGAGGTGGTAGTCGATATTTGGACGTTCCTGAAAATGCGATTGCGACGTTTAGAAAACCTCAACAATCTTGTACAAAATTAAGCATTGAACTCAGCGTCCATAAAAAAACTACTACACGCGTTTTTAGATTTTTTTGAAATCATTTGAAACAGCTATTTTTTCCACAGTGACGCCATATGCAGGACGTTTCTACCGTAATCCCATAGTAATGAAGAGCGATTGATGATTCGCTCAAATCTACAAAATGGTACCCAAAGCTTTTCCAAAGACTTCATGACAAAAGAATTATCATTTAAAGAGTAGGCATATTTTTTGGGACGCCCTGTATGTAAGTTGTAATATGACTGACTTCGAATATGTTTTCCGTATATGCTGAACCGTTCACTAAGCGAATTACAAGCATTAGAGGGGCTTGTGTGATACTGGTAGTTTGTTGGGGGGGGGGGGCTGAAGCACAAGTAGACCCTGATTGCTCCCTCTGACTTTCCCATCTTTCGAACTATCCGATATTTCGGGGAATACTGGGTTAGTTCGAAAGTTCTTTCCGAACGCACAGAGTCATTTGGGATATATAAGCAAATGGTCTGGATTGATTTTCCTCTTTTTAATAAGCTGCTTTTGTAGTCTCTAAAATAATCGCCACAGTTTTGAACCCATGCTTTTCACCATGTTGAAGCATGATTTTGAAATTCAGCAATTTAACATTTTCTTGATTTTATCGTACATTTTCTGGTTTTATTTCCGCGATCCTGTGTCATGCGCATCAATACTAATAAACTTCCGGAATTTAGAGATTACAAAAATGGATTGTGGTTTAAAGCTAGTTCGAGACAAGTGTGCGTTCCGCTTCAAAATGTCTATTTCAAAATTTTCCCGAGTAAGCTTATGGTAGTTTTATGCTCACAGACTTTACGAACTGGAAAGAAAAAACGCCTCAGAAAGAGTAGAAGAAGTGCATCGAATGACACCCGCGCTGCTCGCCGGTTGATGTTTAGTGAAGGTTGGTTGAACAAATATGCAACTTGGTAGCATCACAAGAAAACTTGCAAAAATGCTAGCAGAAAAATGCACTGCATTGCACTTTTTTTACTCTATTCACTTTTATCAAGCACTTTCAATATTCTATTAAATAATGAAAATCTCAAGGAAGTGCTAAACTTGAACGTCGTAAAAAAACACGGGTTCGAAACGTCGTAGATTACTTTGGTGACAAGAGCAACTCGTTTAGAAACTTGCCAGACGAAAAGAGAACGAAAACAAACTGCGTTGAATGTTCTTCTCGCTTACCTTGAATCTGCGTGTTCTACATTAGGCCAAACAATGAAAAAACTTTTGAACAGATTTATTATTGGAAGGTTTGGGATGTAATACTCAAGTTATCCAGATAGAGCCCAACCATGCATTATGGAAGCAAAGAATTTGCCTACAACTTAGTCCACAGCATTCCAGGAACTTTTGACTGATAAAGCCATTGAGTTAGGCCACTACGAATTAACGCCTTCTCTAATTTTGGGAAAGACGGAGGCCCACCTGCCGGAAAATCGACATTTGTTGATAAGAAATTATTTTCTCTGGTATACCGCTGATTTTTTCTTGTAGCCATTATGACTCATTGATGGTCCCAGCGTCAGGGCCCGTTACGGTTTGGAAGGAGGCTGGACTTCGTTTTCGGGGCGAAGAAGCAAGGAAATATCGTTTTTTTGGGTTCGAAAAAACACGAGTTAGGTTAGGTTTTCTTGAGGGCGTTCCGGAGAAGGGTCAAAGAGGACTTCATGAAATTTCGCAAACCAGGAAGGGGGAGGACTTCGTCTCCAAAAAGCCTAGAAACGGACTCATGCTGCACCTTGCCCAGCTTTCTCTTACAATTCCCAAACCTTCAACGTAATGGATCGAATATGACTTTTTTTGCGCCGTACATGTTCGAATCAGCCGTAGTGACTGGTATGCAAAGAATCTGACCATTCACCAATTTTACGACGGCCTTTAAATTAATGACCCCTTTAGAAGTGATGTGCATTATCATTGCGAGTCGTGATTGACATTACTTGTACTAGTTCATCGGCATGTCAACATTCACCTGAAGACAAGTCACGTGGGCCCGTAGTAATCTACCCTACCTGCCGGCAGATCTTGCCCTCAACTCGCCGCGATCTCGCCCTCAGGTCATGAAAACTGTCTGCGCCCTCTCTAGCTTCCCCAAAGCAATCAGTTTGGCGCTCTCCAGGACTGACGGTCCAGCTTGGAGATGGGCACCAGATGGAGATCGAAAAAAATCCGAAAAATCCCGACAACTTCAAATTTTGGACCCAAAAGATTGACCTGCCGGCAACTTCGTGAGGTATTTTGTCGAGATTCTGCCGCGATCTCGCCCTCAACCTGCCGGCATCTCGCTCTCATGTCAGCAAAGAAAGAAAAATAGCGTGCATATTGAGGAGTGCAGCCTGCCGGCATCTCGTCGTGGTCGGACCATGTCGAGATGCCGGCAGGTTCATGACATACATCTCGCTATCTGGCGGATTTTTGATTAATTTCTTTATTTTCTATGTTTCTCTTTTGCTACTGGGGTATACTTATCACCCAAAACAGTCACAAATGTTCAAAAATCGCTGGCATGATGGGTTTTTCTAAGTTTTTCTGAGTTTGTTGTAAGATACAACGAGTTTTGAGTTATCTGAGCTTTTGCTGAATTCAAAATTTACTGTCGGTGTATGTCTATTTTATGTTTGTTGCAATTCTTAATTGAACAGCCACACGGTTGTCGATTCCTCATTGCCTGAATAAGCTTTTCCTTGATCTTATCTTTGAAAATTCCGGTAACACAACTATTGCATGCTTGACCAATTTCGGTTTTTCGATTGTTTTCCACGTTCAGCTTTGTTTCTACACTTCCCGTTATGCTGACGGTGCATACTAGCTTTCAACCAGCCGAAAGTTCAGATGGTATGGTTCCCTGTTGGAGCATTCGCACCGCTTTTTGCGTCGTTGAAATCTCCATGTATCTAACACATCTTCTCTATGGAAGTTTGTTCAATTATCTTTTTTGGTTCTTTTATGATTCTTTCAACTTTTACCTTTTTGCTTATGTCAGATTCAGCGTTTCGTTGCTGTTGTTCTTCACTTGCCTAAACCCTAACTAAATGCTATTTTATCGAACAAGTATAAGGTTTTAGGCCCTGGCCAGACTTCGCTCAAAGGCGCCCAAAAGCTCTCAAAAGCGCCCAAAAGCGGCCAAAAGCACCCAAAAGCGCTCAAAAGCGCCCAAATTTCTCTGGTGTCTCTTCACTTTCTCGTGTGAGGACCAATGACAGAGAGTGAGGAGAGGTTAGAGAAGCTAGGGCGCTTGTGGGCGCTTTTGAGCGCTTTTGAGTGAAGTACATCCCTTTTACCATCTCAGAGGTAGTATGAACGCTCCCATCACTTGCGACAACTTTGGCAACTTCATTGTTCTTCATGTCCATTAGTACTATCGCAAAAATGCTTCCGAATGCTCCTTCACATTCTCATTCAAATTCATGTCACATCTCCACAATCGGGGCCACAACAGGCACCAACACAGGTAATTTCATCATCTAATAAGTGATAATGTAACAGAACTTGTCATTGAAATTGCATTTTTAGTTCTTCTTCGTCTAGTCAGATCAACGGGCAAGTTCAACAACATCCACCATCTCAGGTATCTCCAGAAGAGATGGCAGAAATGGACAGACAGAAGGTTTGTATTCAACTTCGTCTTGTCATCAGACAATCATCGGATATTCAGGTCAATCCAGCACTGATAAAGTATATTGAAGAGTTCAAGTTTCCCCCATATAACTGCTGTCAGCAACTACGAAAAACTCATTAAGATTAGAAAGGGAACTTTCGGGTAGGAACTGTCTCGTTTTCCTATTACTGTTACTATTTTTTTTATTTAGCGAGATCTTCAGGGCGGATGTTCAAAGATCTGGGAGAGTGATGGCGTTGAAGAAGATCTTGATGGAAAATCAAATGGAGGGGGTTAGTTTCTTTACTAGATTTGCTTTACTTACTAGATTTGATTATTGTATTTTTAGTTTCCAATCACTGCTTTGCACTAAAGATGCGGCAGCTCAAACATGAAAAGTAACAGATCTTATCGAAGTTAGCAGCAGTAAAGGTGAGCTAAGACAGAGCGTTGCACTTGCTTTATCATGCCTTCATTTTGTGACTGTTTTTTTTAGCATCTTCACACAATCGTGACTGTTCCACTTTCTAGCTTGTCTTTGCCTTTTGCGAACATGATCTCGCAGGATTGTTGTGTAACTCAAAAATCAAGATATTTCTAGTGCACATCTAAATGATGATGAAGGTGAGTCTAAGATTTTCGTTTTCTTCCTTCATCGTTGACTTGGGACCAGTTCATTTTAAGGGCAGAAGACCTAGTTGAGTATCATCTTTGTCTGTTTCAGAATTTACCATACTTTGGCCCAAAGGCAGCGTCCAGGCAGATCTGCCTATGGGGATTTTACGTGGAAAGTACCTTTGCGGCCCTAACTAAGGCACTGCCCAAACGGCAGCGCATTTAGTACTCTAACGGCTGAGATATATTCCCCTCGAAACTGCCCCCCCCCCGATCGTATTCGCATGGATTCGCAGTTTCGCGCCAGCCCCACGCTTTTCGCCATGAATCCATGCAAAATACGATCGCATAGTCCAGTTTCGAGGGGAATATCTCAGCCGTTAGAGCACTACCTGAGCTGCCGGTTGGGCAGCGGCTTAGTTAGAGTTCACTACTATCCACTTAGGATCCTCATATATCCACACTTGCCTGCACGCTGCCTCTAAGCTCTGTGCTCAAAAAATGTGAAGGCTGTAAATAGTCAAATATTAGTCTTTTTTTCAGCATCTGTTCAACGGATTATGGAACATAAACCGGTCCAGAATCCTACACAGGGAAATGAAGGCTGCAAACGTGCTTCTATCTGGAGATGGTTTTCTCAAATTCGCGGATGCGGATTGGCAAGGCCGTTTTATATGGGTGAGCACTTTCGACTTTTACTCTAGCTTCTTTACTGTTTCGTTTACTCACTGCTCTTTACAAAAGTTAGCTGTTATGTATCATACAACTTTTGCTATGATGATTTAACTGAGTGAAAGATAAGTAAGCTTGATAGTAGTTTGACTAGCTTTCTTATCTGGCTCCGCCCAGCCCTTCAAAAACTAAGATAAAGGTCCCATCCCTATCTCTGTACAACCTTCACCTGCGCCCACTTCTACATGACAGCTCCCTGTTCACGCTGGTTAGTAATCAGCATGGTCCCTACCCCCTTGTGCCAATTCCCAGCCTCGTAGCTCAAACTTTGCAAAAAATCGGTAAAATCGATAGAAGTAATAGACAATTTAAAAAAACTAATACTGTATTTATAATCAGCATGCTCGATTACCTCCCTCTCACTGTGCCAACTCGCAACCCCATAGGTCAGACTTTACAAAAAATTGATAAAAATCGATATCGATCCATAACGAAAAGTAGCCTATGACACCCCGCGCCGAAGTGTATACACGCAAAGTTTGATCCGAATCAGATCAGAAATAAAATTTTCTATCCGGAATCCGGATGCGTACACGCAACACAGAAACACAGACATGTGTTTGCTAAATATAACAAACTTTCCAGGAAAACAGATGCCAGTGGAACGGAAAACTCAAACAGAGGAGAAGACGAAAAGAAAGAGGCAAAACATCGGAGGAATTCAAGAACCGTGAGTCATTTGTTGCAGTTTTGTAACGATATCTCAACGTTAGTGAGTTGGTGAGCTTCAGTTTAGGCAACAAGGAGGCAACGGGGGAGGTGACCAGCAGAGAAGAAGTATAGGCTTGCCATTTTTTATGGCTAAACTGACAAGATTTTTTAAACGCAAATTTTCATTAAATGTTGAAAACAAGTAATTTTTCTAATCGAAATTAGTTGAAGTCAAAGTACACGAGTTTTGTTTGTTTTAAATCTTATTTCTTTCTATTGTGTCTTTTTCGCAACAGCTTTGACAGTCGAATGTAATCTTCGCTTTTTCCTGTTCGTGAAAGCATGCATTGAGACTGTCCAATTGACATCGTCACTGCTTTGGCGGCTTGGATTCGCGAGCTTTCTCGCTCGCCTTAGGCCGCCGCGAGAATTTGTATGCAGATGGACGAGGCCTATGGTGAGCAAGACGGCACGAGGACTCAATAAGCCGAAGCAATGACGATGTCATTTGAACAGCTTTTGACGAATTGTTGTAGATGCCAGTCTTGTCCTGTGCCAATCTCGTCCACTGGAGGATGAGCCGGCTAAAGGTTATAATACGCTATGGAGGTTATGAGACTTGGTGCAGCTTTTTCACCTTAGGCGGAAATTTGAATGACGCGCGTCGCTTTGCAACAGTCGCTTCGTATCGCGCGCATCAGTCCTCTCTGCACCGCAGCGAAAGTGTATTATATCGTCTAAGGGCCGTATGCACTAACATCCCTGAGGCGAGGGGAGCGGCATCCCTCATTATGAAGGGGTCGCGTGCGGACGCCGCTACGACTTTTACATCATTGGGGACGTCGCTTCCCTCGCCGCAGGGATGTTAGTGCATTCGGGCCTAAGGAACCCATGATGGCGTCTCCTCATTCCCTTCGTTCTCCTGGTGAAATGCTAACGCTCGCTCGCGTCTTTTGCTAATATACAGCGGGTAGGGGATCGAAAGCCACCCAGATTGAGCCGCCTTTCGCGGACACCTGGTCCTTTTACAATGCTGTTGCATGTCGTTCCAGGATTAGTTATTCGCAGGCCCAAACTGGCGGCCTTGTACCCCTACCCAGTAGCTGCTTTTGGCTCGTTGCGTACTAGTGGCTTTCCCCAAATGGCAGCGTACCAAGGCGTCCCATGTTCTTCGCTTGACGTACCAGCGGCGTTCCTTAATCAGCGCTGCCAGCGGCTGCCGTTGTGCCGACGAGCGGCGTCCCATCACAACGCTCCGTAATTACCCCACTTTGTAAGCGTAGACAGTACCTGCATGGGATGCGGCGCTGTGGTTGGGCTGCCTCCGTATTTTTGTTAGTAGTTATCACTTCTTGGTACTTGACAAAGAATAAGCTTGAGTTGTTGCTCATATCGAGTTGGCCCGATAGCACCCTAATTGAGTGTTATAGGGGTCGTGTGCCCTTGATTTCGTTCCAACAAATCGATAGAAATAGTAGGATTTTTAACGCTCATTTCGTTTCAATGAAATCTGCCAATGACAATTTCCAAATCAGCTAATGTTGCAGTCAGTCTAGTAACCAGAAATCGGGTGAAACTGCGGGCCTTCGCCAAGGGTGTGTCGTCTTGGCGTGCCAGCGGCGTACATTTTCCTGCCAGCGGAGTTCCACAGCGTGAGAGTGGCGTGGGCTGTCCTACCAGGGGGGTTTGCGCTTTTCGCTCAGATGAGGATCGAACGCCGCTTGTACGCAATGAAAGTCAGGAATTGTGTCATAGAGCACTTGGGGTGATTATAAATATCTATCTTGCCACCTCCCGAATAAGTATTCAGATATACTGCTAACTCCCTAAGCGAAAGTAGCGATTTGATTAGAAGAAAACGGGTCCTCGAAAATTTATCATTTTTTGAGAAACTGCATAATATGGTATTGAGATCCAGTTCGAAATCAGCACCCTAAGGAGAACCTATAGGCTACTGCATGACGAAGGCGCAATACCATTTGCGCGAACGCGGTTTTATTAGCCGCAGAGCGCATGAGGCGCAGGGTTTACAACGATGAAGATACGCGCGCGCCAAGTTCGCCCCGCTCAACCAATACTGCTTCTGCGCCTTCGTCCTGCAGTAGCCTTTAGATAGTAGTACGCATTTAGGAATGGCCGTGGTCACCAAATGCCTTTTCAAGTACTTTTTTTCAAAAAAGTTCGCAGGATATATTAGTGGTCCATTTATGCATGCATCACTTACTATGCGCAGTTGTTCTTCCTATCTCTTGCGGCCGGCAAGAACCTTGGAGGATTTCTAGCATGTTCCGAGATCCTACACAATCTGATGAAGAGTTTTGCTTTTGTAGTATTGTTTGTAGTATTGTCAATTCTATCCCGATGCAGCACAGCATTCCACTTGTAGGTGGAGTGAACATGTTAATACGAAAATGACTGGTGTGATTGATCACTCTCCCTACAATGATGTGTAATGTACACGTGTAGTCTAACGGGTTAGTATGCTGACTCTCGCTGAACAAAGAAAAGTTCCATCCCAGCAAGGTGAAATGGTTTTGCGGTCGACCATAAATTGCTTCGTGAACCTGTAGTATCAGGAAACTACAGCTCAAGGCTAAAACACGATCTTGTCGTGAGGTTCGCGAACTTGCCGTCATGTCTTATGCCAACATGCCGGGTGGATTACTACGGGCCGTGGGGTCTCATGACGTAGGAAAAATTAGAGAGGACGAAGATGTACACGTGCTTTTTCTTGATAAACAAATAGCAGAAAAACTTATAAACGGCTTGGAAAAACTTCTTCGAGTACATAGAAGAATCCTCGTTGATTTTAGACAGCGTTAGAGGCGAGGAAAGGTACCAGAATAACACGGGCATTTTTTTAACACTATTCTTGGAAGATTCCCCGTCCCCGTGTGCGAATGAATGCTCGAATTCAGGCTTAAGCTTGGAATATATTCTTATAGCACAAACCACTCATTTTTATGGTGGAAAGGAAAGAGCAGAATGTATCGTTTCCTCATTCCAAAATGAGTTAAAAGGGAATTTGTGATGAGATGCTAGATGATGCTTCTGTCGAATTCGCGCTCAATTATGACGTCACGACTTTACTCATATGTCAAACTTATTTCGGTTAAATAGTCACAACCTTCGCATCATAAGATTTATGCCATTTCGTAGAAAATCAATGACAAACGCCCTGATTGATAACATTTATTACAGACGTGTCGTGATAAAATAGATATATTATATCTTGTGAATTTTATACATCTGGCTTTTCTTCGAGCATCGCGAAATTATGGGAGAAGAGAGAAGAAGAATCAAAATTTAGATTGCCACAAATGTGAGCAATGTTCAATTATTGATAATTTTTTGTCTCTCTGTCTCTCACAGTCCTTAGAGTTGTCTACAATACGGAAAGTACTACTGATCGCTTTTCATCTGTGGTATAACGGTAGGAACATGAATCTTGCCCCAGAATATGCTAAAGATGTGGAGACTACGAACGGGAAGTATGGACTAACCGCTGAATTAACAATAATAAATTATTTCATGAAAATTCTCAAAATCTGCTGTATGCCATGTAAGCTACCTTTATGAAAAAAAAACACTCCTCAGAAATGTGCTTAGCCATTTTAACGGCATCACATTAGAACAGCCTCACAAAGCAAAAGTTGATCGTTCGATAAAAAATGCTGAAACCTCACTGCAAAATATCTAGGCCTGGATAAAGAAAGTTGCCATTTTACCACAATTTTTATGAAATCGAATTTGTGCCCTTAGTCACAGTAACGGAAAACGACCGGATTCTAGATTCTACTGTACTGTGGATTTAGTCGGGAAAGTTGTCTTTTAATATTCTGAACTCTGTGAAGACTTCTGGACAGAGATACATTGAGTGGCTAAATTTTCATGAACACATGAATGAGGAAGGTTGCAGGCAGGTATGTAATCTTCACTCAGAGACATTTCCTGCAAAATTTCTACTATGCGCTAAATTACTTTTTTGTCAAGCAAAACCTCCAATTCAATTTTGCAACTGTACATCTGTATACGTAGACACTGCGACATAATGAGAATAGCTTGTCTTGTGCATAAAGTTTACTGATCGTGCGATCGCCGCTGCGATTTCGTTGAAATCAAAAGTGCATCGCAAAAAAAGCAACGACTGCTCTCATTGCGTAACTGGGCCAAAGAACGAGCAGCGGTCCTTTTGCATTGTGCCCTGATCACATTTCACATTAAAATAACGGCGATTTTCCCCCGGCGGCGCCGAGAGGATGACCTCGTAAGAATGTTACGCATTTCAACGATGCAAACAGCTGATTCACGTCACCTCTTTGCAAGCCCTTCGCTTTGTATGATTCTCAATGCTAACGTTGTCATCGACGGCCACATGCGAAACTCCATTCGCAAACGAAAACACATCGATTTGTCGATCAGCGCATGTTTCCATGAAGCTTATAGACACAACATTGTCTCTGAACTTTGTCATGATAGAAAACATCGAAGAGCAACTCGGTATCACTTTGATAAATAGCATGTTTTACAAATGTAAGGAGGAGAGTCTGTCTCTACTCTCATAGCCTGCACTATAATGGATGCAAAAAAAATACGTTTGATTGTAAGAAACTCTCTTGACTCAGCTCCTTCAAAAGCAAATGTTCTGTAGGGCTAGCTCCACTTTAATTTTACCCAGCAGAGGTTACGGATGCTGTTTTTTTTACTGCGGGCACGATATTAGTTCCTGCACAATATGTCGTGGTATAGGAACTTTTCACAATAAATGAAAGCTTAAGTGAGCTCAAGCTCGCCATATTTGTAAAGAAATTTTTTTACTTTAATCAAATTTGATGTTTTTAATCCTTCGTATGTCGTAGTTTGAACCAGAGAGCGAGTTAGGGTTGTCCGTACATGGAGTACCTAACCTACATATACTCTTTCAAGTTTTCAAAGCCTAATATTTCAAATTTTCTTTCTCAAATTCAGTTTCGCTGTTAGTGGCACAACCTACCTGCCTGAAAAAAATTCCAGTATGTACCATAAATCTCCACATCTCATTCGCTAAGAATTTACACACGTATGTCGACTCATGTGCGCCACGAAAAAAATTTTAGTATGATAAAGTCTCTTTTCTACGTTAGGTATATGGCAAGAACCCCGATTCGACCCCTTGATGAGTATCATATCCGCTCGTTTACGCTAACTCATCATTTGTTTTGGAGCATACACATGTTGGCTCTCTACCTTACTAAGATTTATCTTACGAAGGGTTAAGTATATATCAGCGCAAAGATCTTTATATTTCGAGCTTCGATTCGCCATCAACTATTTACCCTCACCCCGCAAAATACGCCTCAGATTTGTTGTAGTGAGTGTAGGTGCCGCGAAAGTTCATATTCAAGAAAATGCGTCCATCAAGTTTGAGAGAATGTAGTTCTTGCCTTGTTTACTCTATCTTGTTAAGTTCGCATAAAACTGTAAAAGCGTTAACAAAAAATATCTTTCTGTTCTCTAATAAAATCGATGAGATTGCTTCAAAAGTCTGCTTTAAAATGAGCGACCGTCACTGTCCAACGTCGTCGACAGTCTCATTTCTTCAACAATTTTTTAGCCAGTTCGTTTAGACTTCATTATACATTATGGGAAAAAGATGTATAGATTACTTAAGGCCAAGTAGCTGATTAGCATGCTGATTTTTTGTTAGTAGTGAAAAGTGATTTTTTGATCTCCTCTTTTCGCTCCCTTCACCCTTCACATGATAGTTTTGTCAGCACCGCACAGACATCTTGTCGTTGTCTTTTTTGGTAGTTGTATAGCAGCGGCATAATGGCCCTATAGCATGCAGCATTCTGTGAAGTATTGTCGCATTACTTTTTTGTTATTCTACTGTAATGTCTCAGTAATCAAACTTAGGCACAATAACAGCGACATTTTATTTTACCTGCATGATTAAGGGAACCGCAGATGCCACATAAATGCCTCATGACTTGAAGAAAAGGTCAAATAAGTAAAAACCTCTCCCATTCTTCACAAAACAAAACCTTCAACCAACTCTACCAAAAAAATGTATGAAATTCTCGGAAAGTGTTTTCTTAAAAACAGTTCCTTAAAATATTTGCTTTGTATGATAATCCTCGGAAATTCCTAGGGATAGTAACTTTGAGCAAAATCGAATGTAACGATTCCAAAGAGCCACCAAACCATCCTTTTTACGTTGCAGTATCTCATTATGACCCCCCCCCCCTCCACTTTGCAGACATGATACTCAGTGTCACCAGCACAGCCGCTTGTACATGTTATCTTTGTTTGCGATTTGTCTTAACCGAGTGCTTGAGAGAAGCGGCTTAATCCATGGAAAATTGGCAAAACGTAGGAAAGGAATCCTGACAACATTTGCGCGCAGCGTTGCGATCAACATAGCTTGAATACAGGAAGTGTCCGGGCAAGTCGGGATACCTGGGGTTGATGTATATAAAAATTGTTCGAAAGCACTTGTTTGACTCATCGCCAGATAGAAGGTGACGTGATTCACTCGCAAAATTTTCGAACCCAATGGTCGAGAACCATCTCTTCGAACGGATCAATCAGCGTTTCCAGCACAATAGGAAATGCGGTGCGGTCTGGAATTTAGAGGAGAATTTCACAGCCACAATAAATTATATGAGTTCTTACTTGGCTAGTGACTCAAGTGAGGCTCCCAAACAGTATTCACAAATGCTACAAAGATACCCAAACCTGCCTGGAGAGCGCCTTTGATATTCTGCAGAAAGACTGTGAGAGTGCTCTCTTCTATTCCCTCATATCAAAAAATAAGCTGAGCAGCATTCCTGGCTCCATTGTGTGACGAATAAATCATATTCACAGCTTTTCTTCGTTTATTTGTTCTATTCCTTTTCTCTTCGTTCTGCCGTATTACTATACATTCAAGTTACTTTGTTTCTAACATAAAGAACGCCGCATATGATCATTGACTGCAAAGATTGTCGTAAATGACAGCACTAGCTAGAAACTTTAACTCTGACATCTTTTTTAGTTTTTGTCAAAGTCATTTGAAAGCAAATTCATCTTCTACATAGCGAAAGCTTCAAGTTGTCCAAATTTTACTCGTGTATTGGTTTCTTTCCCCCATTGCAGACAATTACCTTCTCCATTTCAAACCTCTCAAGCTGGTTGCTACCCTTCCCTGCTTCATACATGCTGCTTTACTGGAAGAGCCACTCTCTAGCGTAGAAGCTTAAGGTGTATTACCTTAATGAGCTTTATATTCCCCTCAATTTGTATTTCTTCCATTTGTTTTCGAGTCGGACTTTTTTTTCCAAACGCATAACAAGCAAATCTGCCTCAAGTGGGCACAACTTGACAAGAGTCAGCTGAGTGAACCATATCCCGATGTGTTTCATATATAAGAATCATGTAGACATGTGGTAACACTTCACAAAATCATATTTAACATCTTCATTCTCAAAAAATCAGATGAGCAAAGGATTCACTCGACATAGGATTTTGTAGCTCGTACTAGACACCTAATATACTTAGATATTCTTAGGTCTAGATAAATAACGATTATATGTTACAGGCCTAAACTGGACGAGATGGCAGGAAGCACTCTAGCAGATCTCATTTGCTCAATGCTTTCTTCCACTCTACATCCTCTTAACATGCACTTTACAACTACCAAAAACGAAACCGCGCTACGGTTACAACGTCTACGATCACAGACCATGTAGGCAAAAGTGAAGGACATTTACAAGCCGGTCCTCGAAGATTGACACAAGCACATACATATGTGTAAACCGGACACACGCACCACTCGCGATTCCTAGCAGTAAGAGCTCTTCGTTGACGGTTTTTTACTCTGGGAAAAGAGAGAAAAGAGGAAGTATATACGTGGGGATAATTTGCAGGCGCAGCGCTTTTGATAAGAAGTATGGAAAGGTCAGTGAGTTGAGTGGCTGGACCAGTTTCACAGATCTACTCAGCTGCCTTTTTCAAAGTGTCACTTAGCAATGGTGCAGAGCTAGTTTTCGACTCGATGACCATTCAATTAGGAACGACGTTCCAGAGTTTCGTAGTCAGCACAGAACCTGTCCATACTTCTTTAGCGCTTTCTTGCAAGCCTGCAGTTCCATGGCGAGCGCGAGTGTGTCATGAACAGCGTGTTTATCGCATTGGAAACGCCCCGAATGGTATGAAGAGCTGCTAAAACTACAAAACGGTTTCCTAGAAACCCGCAGTTTCTACCCGAAGCGTTAAAGTTTGAACGAAAGAATAGGAGGTGTGGTTAAACGGCACATTGTGCGAATTTTAGAAATTATAAAGACGGGGGAGGGGGGGGGGGGGTAGCGCATTTACAATGCCTGGACGCGCGAGTGTCGTTGGAGACCTCGGTTGCACATATGCAGCTACGATACTAGAAACGATTATGGTACAAAAACTATTGGAACCGTAACATGGATGAAGCAATCTAGAGTGTCGAGATATGGAACTATGAGAGGAGAGGAACAGAAGCAGTGGGAAACGTTATAACGACGCAAGTCTAAACAACCGACCCCAACTACGAATAAACTCTATCTGGACTCTTACACAAAAAGATTGCTCTATATTTACAAAAGTACATGATGTATGGATTTTTCATTAGAGATAAACAGTAGTGCTTCTGCTCCATGCGTTATTATCGAAGCCGAGTTATTCATCTGTTGTTATCCCGATGAAAATGATGAATGAAGCAACCAGTGCGAAAGATGAGCTCTTACAAACAAAGCAGAGTACGACGCGTCTCCAAACGATGTTGAACCGACAAGGACGTCGACGTAGATCGGTACGTGACGCCAAATCGCGCTCATCCTTTCACTGCTTGACCGGGCGATCCCATGTACGAGAACGTTGAGGAGAATTTCTTGTCACCCAAAGAGGATGAGCGCCGAGGCGACGAAGGGCTCAGACTGATGAGTGAGACGTCCTCCTGAAAAGGCACGTAGAAACTGTATATAATAGCTGCGACAAAAGCAGTCTGAGCAATCCCCGATGTCGTTAAAGCCAATGGATGGGCAAAATGGTCTACCATTTTTTGACAGTGTCAGGTAGTATACCCCCAAGTACACCGTAGCCCCAACCCCACCCTCCAGTTCATGCGTTAAGTCCTGTAAAGGAGCTTCAAAACTCCACCAGTTCCGCCTATTTCCACTGTGTGGCGTCATAGCAGGAGTTTCGAAGCGCCTTTTTGAGGAAGCACACGAATTGAAAGGTGGGGTTGGAGCTACGGTGTACTTGGGGGATCCACCTGAGACTATCAAAATCTGAAAGAGTTCCATTTCGCCGATAACTGCCTCTAGAGGCACAGTCTAAAAATCTGAGTTCGGTGAGATATCAATGTATAACAAAATATCGAGGCCATCTAAAGTAAATGCACCAGCCCGCTATAAAAGGTGTAATCCGCAGCGAGAGAACCTCCAGAAGGTACATGCTGCTGGGATCGCCACGTTCATCATTGTGAGTGGCCTAAAGGCAATGGCTAAGCTGCGGAGTCGAAAATCCGCCTTACACTGGAAAGGACAAATTTCCAGCATTTCTAGGTACCCTGGAGTTCATTTCTGGGCTAATCACTTTTAGGCCGATCACGTAGATGCGCGTGAAGATGCTAGCAACATTCACCCTCTGACGCCAATTTCTTGCTGCGAGAGCTGACACCTTTTGTAGCGAGACTTGTACAAATACCTATTAAAGGGGCCTCGCTATTGTATTACACTAATACCTTACCCATCTCGTATGCGGATGCCTTTGAGGTGGCGAATTATCTGCAACATATATTCTGTTTGACGGCTATGATTTGCTCAAGTCTCTAAATTCAAAAATACCCCAGATATTGTCCAAATTTGGCTGCAAACGCCTAGCTTTGATACCGAAACATGATGTCACGGTGGATTTGTTTACGATAGATCGATAGTGCAACGTGTGTTGGCAAAAGTGCAGATCTAGACACAGAATGCTCGAACATTTATAAACGCTTTGCATTGTTGCATCATAAATCATCATTAATCGAGTGAATCGAGAATTCGCACAATCTCCGCATTAGTACGGTTTAGTGGAGAAAATATGATGTTCGTAATGATGCTGATAAACCGGTTCCGCATTATCATTTTGGACAAAAAAAACAGTGTTTTTGTTTGCAACAGAAAAAAAAGAACCAACACTGTCGATCAAGTACGCCAGATGTAAGGTAAACCTGTTGGGGATAGTGAAGTAAAACAAGACCAACCTGCAACTTATCCTCATCCGGTTTATCTGGAGTAGCTGGGCTCAACTGCTCGTAACACCGGTCACACATTCGACATTGTACACCTGTTCCATCATCTTTTGTAGTATGATAGCAATGACTCGAACACTGTTGACAGACGGATCGTTGACAGAACCTGATAACCGAAAAATTAGACAAACACATACCATCATTATTTGCAAAAAATCTCACCTGCACCGGTGCTCCGCATCTTCCGGCTTCAGCACGCTAATCAAAGGGTATTCTTTATTACAGAGTTCACAGTTGGTGTTTCGTTTCAAAGAGATGCCGCTCGATTGTCTTGGAACTTCGCCTGACTCCACCACGGACAGGTCCGATGATGCTCGGTAAAGGCTAATCCCATCGGAATCAGCATCGCCGATCGAAATCTGTAAATCCACAAATAATTAGCTAAAGCACAACGCCGAAAAATATCCAAGTCATTTAAAAAACATCTTTCACCATAGCAGTACCCTACATCACCAAACAACACAATCAGATCGCGTTCCCTCGCACGAGCTTTGAGGTATCACATTAATTAGAGAGCATTCACTGCCGTTAATCTTTGACCACTGCTGAGTTTCATTTACTTTGACGACGAGCAAACACTAGCCTACGCAGGAAGAAGTAAACAGGTAAATAGTCACAGTAACCCTCACAGCTGAGTGGAAAACAAACACAAGATACGCTCAGGCTCTCTCGAGAGCTCTTGAGAAGGCTTAAATTTGTCATAGACCCCGGAGCTCCCAAAAAATCGAAGCAAATTACAAAAGCTCTTATTTGCAAATGTCAGAAAAAAATGAAGAGAAGAGTAGTGACTAGATAAAAGTGAAGGCGTGTTCTTCTATGCTAAGATTTCCACATGATAACTTACCATTCTACTGAATGCTTCATGATTATTGCCAGGGCTCACACGTTCAGAGAAACTGCGATTTCTTTTCAACTGATCTTGTTGCAGTCGTTCGAGCTCCAACTAGAAATTTATATGCTTTGATTCAAAATCCGCAGAAAACTGAATCCTCAAAAAGACACTCACTTGACGAGCCTTATTGTAAGCGCGTGTGAATTCCTCGAGCGAGTCAAAGAATTTGATAAGACCATCTTTATCCTGGCTTTCTTGAATAGTTTTCCAAGGATATAAAGGTGACTTAAACTGAGCATGTGAAGCATCACGCCTAATACTAGTCGGTGGCGGTGGCGCATTCACTACTTCACTCTGAACAGATAATTCATAGCTATAAATGAAAGCATAACAGCTTCTCGCCTCACCAGCGCCACCATTGATGTGTCCATGAGATTATGTTCAGAAGATGTAACATTAATGGTTCCATTGGAGCCAGCATGATTGATTCTAAAATGAAAGAATGATATCAATACGAAATTTTCAAACCATCTATGGTCAAAACTCACATGCCATTCATATTGGCAGCATCCACATTCGTAATCGAATTAATGCTTTCGCTGCTCTTGCTTTTTTGCAGTGGGACTGCAGGGTTTATTCCTGAGCAAGTGTTAGGGCATGCTTCTTTAGGTGGTGGTTGTATAGACACTGGACGTGGCTGGAATAGTTGAATGATGTTTGTAAACTAAACCAGATGAAAACTCATAGGAATATTAAATTCTTTCGATTTACAAGCTTTTTTGCACTTTTTTTCAGCATACGTTTCTCACGACAGTGTAGTCGAAATACAATGAACCGAGAAAAACCTGAGCTAATGGGAACCCGACCTCCACAAAAAGTCACCGATTACGGCGAAATCTATCCCACTTAAGATGAGGAGTCTTAGACAAGAAATGAGGAAGAAATGAAGAGCAAACAGGATTACTCACTATGTCATCATCGAAAGAACAGTCTCGGTACACCTCATTCCACTCAGTCAAGCGGCTCATCTCCGTGCTGGGCGTAATTCTTCCGACAATTGTTTTGTCATAAAAAGAGCTGACGACATGCTCGTTATGTTTTCCGAGGAACCTCCAGATTGAAATTGGCTCCGCTTGCATCTCTTTTTTCATCATTTTAGACTCTCGTCTGGAGTTGAAGAGGAACGTTCCGAAGAGACCGGAGTAAGCATGTTGTGCGAGCTTGATCTGGAATGAAGCATTACCACGAGGATGCAAAAAGCAATGGAATAATCGACTAATGATCATTTCTTGTTAATAACACTACTATGTACATGCTTCGCACAATCATTGTACTTTAATCGCATCCGAGATAATCCCAGTAGTCTAACGTGTTTGTTACGTGATTAGAAGAAGACAGTCAAGACGCAGCCGGTTTCTCTATGATAGATGCGAGAACAACAAAAAAGATCCCATCATACTATGCAATGTTTCGAAAACCTTTCTTCTTAATCATAGAGTAGTCACAGCAATTATGAAAAGAGAAACTACCACTGCCCAGATGTTCCGCCCTTCATAGTTTGAAGTGAGCATTTGCGCCGTCTACCAGTGTACCCAAGGGGAGAAAAGCGTCGCGTTTCCTCATCATACCTCATCATGCTGGGGACTCGAAACCAATTTGTAACCCAATATGTGCGGTTGCTCGAGATCGAGTAATAGTGAAAGGAATCGGTCAAGAGCTTTTTGCGGCTTGCTTTTGATCATTCATTTTGGGCATGCAGCCTTTAGAGGAAAAGACTCCTAAAAGGCAAGATCAGCCAACCTGAGCCAAAGGACAATGTGGGTTGTTAGTAATGGCATTTGGATGGCTTACATTCGACCATTTACAGCTGTAAATCATTCTTGATCGCTACACTTAAGCCCATGAACCCATATGAAAGGGCAACGGAACTCTATGCCAACTTGGTCACGAAATGTGTATTAGTTCTGAATGAAAGCGTGCCAAAGGGTTTGTTTGCTCAATGGGGCAATAACCGCATATCGCCATCCTCATTTTTAGCGCACCAATCCATCTGAGAAAAATGCAGTGGGTGGGAACACGTGGCACTCCAATCGATGCTTACGCATCTGGTTGTACCGGACCGTGGATGCAAGCCTGTAGCCACGGAGATGATAGTGTATAAAAAAGTCTCCAAAAAATAAGTACACAAAAATTGATCATTCAGCATTCTTCATTGCATGAGATAATTTGTTCTTAACGATTGGAATGGTATAATGGGAATCTTCCTCACACTGATTTTTGCTCTCCACCTGCCATAAACCGTATCGCATCGCACATGTGTAAAACTTAGAGACCTTTACGATGCAAGCACGCGCGCAAATAAACAAAGAATTCAACAGTTTTAAAGTTTCACGGTAGCCGCGTTCTACAAGCAACAGTCATACGCGCAATCAACATTCTAGTACTTTCACTACAAATTATAGCATAAGCGTACCAGGTACTGCTTGTTGAATTCGAAGGCTGTCGGGAATTGATCTTGAATTTGATGAACGGCATCAAGGAACTGCAGGAAGATTGGCGACTGTTCGTTCGTGTTCGTGCCAGCAATACCATTACGATCAGCGAATTTGTGGCCAAATGCAACCCATTCAAGGCGTATCAGCTCTTCAAAGCCCTGTAATTACGATAGATGAATAAGCAAAAAGCCCACTTTTACAGCTACTCGCAGGCCTCGAGGACATACAAACCGGAAGGCTCTTTGGGTTAGAATTATTATGATAGCCACACAAGTACCGCTTATCGAAATAGAACGAAGTTATAATTATTTCACAAATATAATCAATTCCCAGAGTTCAATAGAAGAACAAAAAGAATCATAAATGTACGAGTTGCTATCATACGTGACATGTATGCGTACAAACTAACCAAAAAACGATAGATAAACAACTAGACCTGTGGCACAATCTCGCTGATAGGAGTGTCACGTAATAATAAAAAGAAACTTCCTTGTCAATGCAATGATTTATCTCTCACCTGGACAGTTCTATAGTACTCATCACCCAACAATTTCGCAAGAGAAATAATCTGAGTGGTGCGATCCCAACCGTCAGAACAGTGTACGAGAACAGACTGCCCTGAAAGACAGTTTTTTCCTTCACTCAGACGTATGATAGAATATGCAACCAACCGTCAAAAAGCGTGTCCACACATTTTTGGGCGGAATTGATGAGGTCTTTTATGTATGTCAGCCAGCATGTACTATCTAACGCCTACAAACGATAAATATGACAGCGATGAGAACACAGTGGTTAAACAGTGAGCATACCGTATGATATGCGTTGCCCGTTTTATTCTGATCAGAACACAGCAGAGCACGAAGTTGATGGAATGAGTAGCGAACATTGTGAATATTCGGTAATGCAAGCCAGTCTACTCGGGTTCGCTGATAGTACTCTAAAATTCATACAACGATCAACTAACTCTGATAGTAAGTAAAGATATCATATGAAAAGGAGAATAAACTAACTAAGAATCATCAAATTTCATTCCCCTCACCTGGATGCTCAAAGCCTCCTCCTTTGGCTCGATTAGCCCATGCTGCGGCATACGATCTAGCATCCATGATGAGTATATCTTTGCCTTTAGCAATAGTATTAAGGTTTGACTTGAGTCTGAAACGCAAAATTACATACCTGGTAGATAGGTGTCGAGATAGTTGTGAACCAGTTCGAAAAATTTCTCATCGGCGTTGTTCCTCCAACCAAACAAACTAAGCCTTGGCTGACTACTACGCAGAAGAACCGCTCTCTGAAAGCAATATAAATGCAGCGGAGAAGCTATAAGTGGAGATTTTGCACTAAAACACCAAAAAATACTCAATGTGAGAAAAAACGCACCGTTTCCTTACACTTCCAAACTACAGCTGGCCAACGTTGTAGAAAACGAAAATCCTTCCCATCTACAAGGTCTTTATGACTTATTTCCTTTGGAATGACCATGTATTCAGGGTATGTGGGAGAAAGCCTAGAAGTATACTTTTAGTGCAACCAAGCAGAAGAGGAACTTAGCTTACTTGAAATCTTTGTTATCATCTGAGATCCTAAAATGATCACGGTCATAGTCGAGGCGTTCGAATTCTCTACGCACAAGAACTTCATCATCCACGGGTAGATCGCTCGATAGCCATGGGACTGGAACCTCATTAACCTGCAATAACCTATTCCTTTTTTGTTTTTTTTTTTGTATCTAGGATTATGGTATGCTTGAAGGGATAATAACGAGATATACCTCTTTAGCAAAGTTCCAGGCAAAGAGCTCTTGACATGTAGCTCTATTGGCTGCCTTATAAAGCATTTTATGCCAGGCAATTGCGCTTTCCGTGGACTTGGCTCGCAAGCTGGAAGGAAACCAGAGTAAAGCAAATCACAACACAACAAAGCTTTGAACTCACCAAGCAACACGACCTTCCTTGCAGCTGATGATAATCTGTACAGGATCACGGAAATCAATGGATTCTATGGCCACTATCAGGATCACACGCATAGCTCGATTATTAGGTGCGATAAGGCAGATCTAGAAACTCAAAAAATGGATTTCGAAGAATCTGCTGAACATGTTAGAACAGCCCACATGCTCAACTCCCAAAATTTTGGAATTTTGTCTATTCCTTTGGCAAATGTCAACTGTATCGCGAAAGTATTATTGCACAAAACAAACATTACTGGAGATAGAGGCAAAAATTGGCAATTTTGCAATATCAAAACAACCTTCAACTTCTTTGAACTTCTAACCATTACGCATATTTCAACGACTCTACCTTTCCGAATTTTCTCAAAAAGGTTTTTACATTTAGTTTTATCCAAGCGATAAGCATAGGCGGTGTATGTCAGTCACCCTGATTTCTCAAGAAGCAATTTTATCGCTACTGAAAATTAGCGTTGTTTTCATGATCATAAAGAGCGCCCGATCGGGCGATGGATGCTAATCTATAGCAGTGGAACATCACGCAACCAGAGTCCGGATATTGACAATTCACCCATCAGATTTAACAACAACCAGAAAAAATCCTCACTCTATAATCAGTAAGAATGGCTCGAAGCTCCCCTTCAAACTCGTCATCCGCCTTGATTGATTCACCAGGCAACAACTCGATGGGATTCGGTTCCGCTACAGGAGCCGACTTGTTTTCGGCTGCGCCGCGCTCTCCAGATTCCACTATGGCTTCAGCAGTAAAATTTTCTTCCACTTCCAGTTCATGCGGTGCCTGCAAAGAGATTTTCAGTAATATCATCTCATTTACGGTTCTTCTCCGCCAACTGCATACATTAAATCTTTCTAGCATATCACTACAAAGGCTTGTGAACAATGCAGCGCTACCAATCGCTATCGATCAGCGATAGCGAAGCACTGACAGACAGTTTCTCTCTGCTTTCTATCTACACATACGCGGCATCATTCTGTCGAGAAATACCGTAGAGAAACGGCAATCAAGTTCTTCGTGGCACTAGCTGCCAGCAATGTTTGTTTCCGATTTTGTCGGCGACAAAAAATCAGCGGATATTACTCTCATGAAAATAGGAATTCACCCAATAGTTAACGAAGCAACAATGTCAAGGGACATGCCTTTTCAAAATACCATTTGAAATCTCCATCGGACTAGCCGTGGATGCTTATCCTTTCATGCTCCTTACGGTGAAAAAAAAACTGTGTCTTCTAATGTTTTTTACCAAGCGCGCCCTGTCTCGATGGCGCCGCTGTCTAGAACATAAAAATGTCTGCTAGAAGAACACCAGATGTTATCTCTCAAATCCTCCGGTTGAACAACAGTTTGGAGCGGAATCCTACGTCTGCGATCAAGATCAGCTGATCTCAAGTTATCGATCAAAACGTGGTTCAAACAAACACGTGACGTGAGTGCCGATAAACACACAATCTCCCTTCTCACTGACAAAACGATGGGATCCGAAGGCTCACACATTTTGGGGGACCCGTCTCTGCGAATGGGGGAAAATGATGTTCAGCACTATTCAAAGTCTTTCTTGAAAATGCAGCGGTAAATTACTTCCTTGGTAACATACAGAGTGAACCCGTGCGAAAGAAATCACGTGCTGATAAGAAGATGCTTACGCAGGTGATTTCGGTAACAATAAAAAATGGTGCGTAGCAGCTCATCACTTCATTGTGAGCCGACAGATAATGGGAGAACTGATATGATAAGAGCAGCTCGTTTGGCCGTGACAGCAATATCTTACTGTTAGAGCGAGAAAATTCGCAGCCAAAGTTAAGCAAAAATGAGAATGAAAACCACTTCTTCGTTCAGCAGCTACAACCTTTCTAGGTAGATTTCAGATGACACAAGAACACTAAAGATCGGGACAGTAAATGCATTAGAATAACGCAACATAACGAGGTGAAAAATTGTAGTCAAAAACCGGCAGTCTCTTAGATAGCAAAGCTCACATAGAGGAAAAAAATTTTCCTTGAATACAAATCGAGAGATGTAGGACATCTCCTAAAGAAGAATTTAACAATTCTTCTGACTGCCAGTGAAAAGAGTTTAGGTCAAATGACTTGGTATCCGTAAAAAGAGATCAAACACGACGAAATCCGCAGAAATGGAAAAGAGCACAAGATTATAATGCAACAAAGCTTGTGCCAAATTACACCACATGCGCTTCTCTCAAGAAGGCCACTTCATACTTTGTATCAATCTGACTTTTCTACGATCATGTCAACATAGCCTTCTTCAACGATAGAACGATCAATTCGATAGTTCGTAATAGTTTCTTTTGGCACAGAAGTCCAGCGCTTCACACATCAAAAACATTTTCCTGGTCAATGTTCAAACGTCATTGCGTCCACATATGTTCAGTAGACACCAAACGAGATTCACGCCTATAGTCGGTGTCGACGAAACAGATCCAAATCGGGAACGTTGGTATGCGCAATTAATCACTATAGTGTGCCAACACAAAAACAAACGAATGAGAAGCGATGAAAATAGATTGGCGAGCATGAGACAATGAAGGAGTGTGAGATAATTGAGAATTACAAGAAAACGAAGAAAGTGTGGTCCGTGGAACGCAGTATACTCGAGAGCTGAAGCCCAAAGCATGAGAAATCAGGTCAAAAAAACGGCTGGACTCTAACCCCAAAACGATTTAAAAAAAAGATTTCAAACTAGATTACCTCAGAATCTCGGCGCATAATCGTTCGTAAATCTTCAGCTTGAGGAACGTGTGGTATGTTCACATACGATCTTGGAGATCCAAAAGAACCGTCACAATCAGTTGTCTCTTGGCATGGAATGTTTATCGCACTAGTACCCCCGTAGACCATCCTAAATATTCAAATAGAAGAACCTAGTGTGGTTTGATGCGAGCTTTGTTCAAAAATATGGTGAAAATTTGGTCAAGCATGGAGAATTCTTCAAAACAACGCAAATGGAGAATAGATAAGCCATCAATGTCAAAAACAAGGCGAACGCAAACGATGATCTGAACCAAAGCCGCAAGGAAAGGTACGGAGAAACTTGTTTTCGGCACTATTCAGTACAAGAAAGATACAGAAATAAATGACATTCGCTACGCAATGAACCATCATAAACGATGATAAGATTGATGGGATTATATAAATAGATACAGATTCAGCAACTGATGTTCAAAAAGAATTCTAGCGATTGGACCAACTAATATTAATCCGAAACCGAGGCGAACTAGAGAGCCTAGGACAATTGTAGAGTCAAAACAGATCCTAGGGCATATTTTTTCGATGGATCTCAATGACGAAATAAAAAGATGGAGAAAGGACCGAGAGGGATAAAAAGAGGTGTAGAAGTTATATTGTCAGTAAAGAATGAACAAATCTTACCTTTGAAGTTCCTGGTGGTGGTTAATAGACACCTCAGTTGTGTCGGCTTGCACACTAGCACAATAAAATCTCTTCTTTCGAGTTCAGAGCGTGTGTCAATTAATTACCACAGTTCAAGCAAAAACGCGTCCTTGCAAATGCGGCAAGATACCGCCTTCCAGTTGTACTTTGCTATTTATTCGAGTGCGAATAGCTAAAAACAAGTGCAAAAACGTGCGTAAACGTCTTAACAACGAGAAATCGACACACTGCAAAACTGCACGAAAAGAAAAACAGGTGATCAAAACGGTGCATGTAAGGCCTTTGAAGATCATAGCTTTCAACAGCAGTGGCGCAAATAGCGATGAGAAGCTGTCGGAGGCGCACATTTGTGCGAGATAAACAGGTTTAGTGAGTGGGACGCGATAAAAGAAGCAACGAGGAACAGCAAATGAGCGTTTGCATCATCACAAAGGAATTGCTCATGCAAATTACCACTGTTACGCCAAATTGGCCTAAAGGAAAGGTTGAGGGCCCTGAGTAGCTGAAACCGACTGGCAACGGAGAATATTGAGAGAACCACGTAGGAAAACAACAAAACACACGAGAATTCCCACGGATCAGCTGGCGCGAGCGGCCGCGATGCGCGTGACCCCGCCCCTCTGAATCGATAGCGCGTGTTGTTTCGCTGCGTCTCTGCCCGGCAACATTGGTCAACAGCCTCCGACGATGCTGCACTATTACGCGAGCTTGATGAGTGACGAGGCCACCACTCTCGTCGTCTGCGCTCTCGCTCAGCTGCTTCCGGTAAACGCCACCGCGTATACGGAGGCGTGGGAGGGAACACTTCGTCAGCATAGGCCCTCTGGGAGGGCAAGTGCTGAAAGTGCTGGGTCAATTCTGCTGCACCCTGGACGAGGTCCCCGTCGCAGCAGAGTGACCCCCCCCTCCCCATGGACCGCAAATCGGCGCCAGAGTCCCCCTCACGTTGCGCAAAAGCCGCCTGCTGTTCCGATAGGTGCAATATATGCATTCAAGTGTCGCTATGTAGCGTGTCACATCCTAAATGGGCTGGCACCCGTGAATCAGGCGGCACTAGAATGTGCTTGATTGCAGCGGTGCAAGGGGGGGGGGTATTAAAATGGATACGGGAACGGTCCTTGTACTGAAAAAAGGGCTCTGGCAGAGCTCCGTACACTAGAGACATAGATTGCTCACGTATTTGTACTCCCTCATTGTTGGGCTAGCTTCTTGTTATGGTGGATCATCCAGCACTTCATGACTGATAATTCAAAATTGAGGGGCGACATGGATTGTCTACAGTCCCATTCGCCGGCTATCTATGAGTAGCGGTTGGTGCTGACCGAGCGACAGTCACCAAGACGTTAAAGGCAGCGTCCGGGTAGGTCCGACGATTTCGAGAAAAGCACAGATTCCTACAGCTCCCACCCCGATCAAGGTCTTGCCCAAGGGGCATCGCTCCACTTTGCTTCTGAAGCGAGAAAACCGCCTCAGAAGTGGCGACACCACTTTACGGCCGGCGGCGACATGCCCGCCCATCCAAGGATTTCATGTTAGATGTGCAGTTTGCCAATTCGCACTGTCTTCAAGCAAACCTTGGTAACTGTATCGTACCATGGCTTCAGCACCTTCAGTAACTGAAGGAGGGAATGGAGTGCAGTGCAGTCCGTTGCAACCAACAAAATTATTGCAGTGGCAGCAGACGCTGGACCTGCAGTGATGCACTTTTTTCGCACTTTATTTTCAATGGTGACGGCATAAGAAGCACATGACGAGCGTCATGAAGTGTGCTGTAGAAATCATCTACCATATACGCAGGAGATTTTGTTAAGGGCTCCGCAGATGAAGCGAATATCTCAGTGTCTCAAGCGCTACAGAGTTGATTTTTCGAATGTGGTCATTTCCTCTCGTTTTTGGGTTTCAGTTCCATTGGGACGGTTGTCCATTAATCCACTCATCATCGAAGGACTGACTCTCACATTGAAATTTGACCCTGCTACAGCAAAGTACAAGCACTGCACCATCGTAGGAGCCCACGGTTTGTACGAGGGCCGATGCTCAATATCTGTACGAAACTGCACTGGCAGACTTGGAGCATTCAGAAGGTTGAGTATGCGGTGAGGTAAGGCAATACAACACCCCATTTATATAGGTAGAGAGGTGAAGAGAGGGTAATCTTTACCCGACTACTATGTGTCGCATCGTTCACCTCTACTCAGACATGAACCAAAATGGCGGTATTACTTTTAGTGAATCATTGGGAGGGTGCATCATGGTACAGGGAGACTACCTACCCACTCTTCGGCTACCCAATTCCTCACAGGCGCTGGTATTGCACAAAGGCACTTGTTTGATCGGGTTCAAATTCTGCCCTTCCTTCTTCCCTCCCCAAAAAGTTTGTTTGAGGAGTATCTTGGTCTAGCCTCCGAACGCGTTTTTGACAAAACAAACCCATCAAATCTTATTCAAAACCATGTAATATGCTTGCGAAGCATAATGCACGCAAAAACATGATGGTGCGTTGTTTGCCGTTTGATGTTTGATCCCTAACGAGGCTCGAAAGCGTTGTGAGGGCAGTTCAAGCTTAGCGCACTCAGCATAATGTGTCTGGAATAGCGAGAAGGTGCACTAACTCGCTTCTCTAGATGGTCCAATCGAAATGTGTTTCATAATTGGTTCCAGAATAAGAAAATTGTAGATATTACCTGAAAATATTATTAGAAGAGGCCAAGGTTTTACATAGTAGAACTGCTGGCAAGACAAGGGGCGTTGGCACAAATCAAAAAACCGCTAATTGTAAAGTTGGTTTACGAATAGGTGTGCGATTACTCATCGGACCTTTCGCATGAATCCTCTCGCTGAGGAGTACTGATGCGAGGGTTTCATGTTCATGACTCACTGTTTAGATAAATCGATCATAATTTCCATGAAATCTGAGACTATGCTAGGGTAATTTATGACTTCTTGGAAATAAATGTTTAGAGGCCCTTAAACGTGACAGAGATGACAACATTGATACAACTGTTGGTACAGTCTTGTCTTATCTCTAGTAACTAGCAATGTATGTAAGAATCAAAAAAGTGGGATGACTCAGATAGAAACCAGTTTCTTAGTCGGTAAACTCCTCAGGAATTCAGTTAAACTGCCAACTACCCTTGGTGGTGTTTCTTCTTCTTACACGTGTTTGTTTGAGTACTTGAAACAACTGTTAGATACATCAGATACATTCAAGAGATTGAGAGATGATTACGTGGAGAAACGTCGACAGTGGTGTCGTATACAATGTTACTTCAGACATTCAGCTCCAAAAAAGTATTTGAAAAATGGGGTTTGCACTATGACGGATTTCGTGAGGATACTGTAAATAATCGCTGTAGTTCGTTTTCAAGCTTGTTTACAAAATCTAAGCGTAAGAAAGGCAAACTACAGCTGTAAAAGGACAACTGGAATTAAATGTTGATCCCCTCATAGCACGCTATTTTGCCAAAGGTCGCAGTTTGCTTAAAAGATGTCTTTGAAAACCTTTGGCGGCTTGGGTATCTGCCCAGACAAACTCAGACTTTATTCCGCTCTAATTTACAAATTGTTGAACGTTTCAAAGAAGCGTAGCATTTTTCCCTAAGAGCGCACGTTATACTTGATCCACTTGATCCTCTTGATCCACTTCATCCACTTTGGTCTACTGGTCTAGTGAGACCTATAGTGGAGTGGGTGAAGTAGATCAAGTACATCAAATGGCCATCCGCGTCGTTATTGGTGAGTTCGTCGTTCTGACCAATAGCGAAGTAAATCAAGTGGATCAAGCGACCAGGTGGATCAAATATGGTGCGTGTCTAATCGATAACACTTTACAATAAGTGCTTCTATGTGCATACCAAGCGTGTTGCTTCAAGTAAAAAAGGCAGACGAATAAAAAGGCTCAGTGGCAACAAATGTGCCATACATAATTGATAAGAGAATAAGTACAATACAAACAATTTCCTCCAGAATAATTCAATGAATGGAAAACTTCAATCAATTAGGGGAGCAAAAGGAGAATAAACATAGCGTTACTGGATAGAACAGATGTTCAGCTGCGCTGAAATTTTTGATAGGGCGTGGTCCGAGTCACTACCCGCCCATAGCGGGAGTTTTGCGACCCCACCCTGAACTATGGTTTGATTTTGAAACAACATTCACTTCTCCAATGTCCGGAAACGTCTCTCCAGCACTATGCTTTGTGGAGAGTGCTAGTCGACTAAGTGTTGTGTCTGCACACAGGAACGACTCGCTTGTACTTAGGAGCAATGACCTGATCTGGATGTTCAAAAATAGGGACTCCTAAATCAAAAACCGCTTGGCGCTGGGCCAATGTGGGAAAAAGCAATGCCTTGCAATAGCGGGGAATTTGTTCGTCAATATTTATAGCCTTGTTATTGGCACGGACGTCGAAGCACAGAAAATCAAAAAGCAAATCATTGATAGTGGAGAGGTGAAGGGAGAGGTGATATTAGAGGCCGAGTTTTCAATGTTCAAACAATCAGATTGATTCAATCGTCATCACATAAGTTTGTAAGAAAAAAAAACAGCGGAAATTTAGCTGTGCTCTACCAAACTAATTTGAGTATTATATTTGACGCCGGAAATCAAATCGCTGTGGCATCATGAAACCAACTTTTCGCTGTTGTCTAATGATTTTATTACTAAGGCTGTCTTACCAGTTCAAACAGCTAGAATTCCAAAAGTTTCGAAACGAACATCGGCTGTTTGGAGATTTGGTGCAATTGCACTAAGTCCCTCAAATTTGGGAACAGTACCTATAATAACTTGACCATTGAGTCAAAAAAAAAATGGATTTCGAAGAGTGCAGGCTGACACATGAAAGTTGGTGGAGTTTCGGACGACCAGGTTTTCAACAGCTAAAAGTCAGACTGATAAGATTTGTCTAGAGCCTCATAAGGCTCAATTAAGTCAGTAATCCCATTGCAAAATCATTTTGAAAATATGAAAGTGAACAGTTTTATCTGCAAAGACCGTAAACAACCCAATTATTGAGAACATTTTCTGTTTTCTGTGAAAAAAACATGTTATATGACGCTTGTTATCCAAAAATTTGTGTAATTTACAGATATAAATAGAGGAACTTGTACAAGTGGATAAGCAAATAAATCACTGGATTATCCGCAAATGTAGGCGTTTCCAGCGTGGAGGTTTATTTGCACTTTTAAGCTTTCCGGATTACTCATCTCACAGTTTGTCTTCACCTCTAGTGTTCTTTGATATAAAAAGTGAATAGGTAAAAAAAGTAAGCGGATGGGGGCATGAAAACATGAAGTTAACATGAATATAAATATGTAAGACAAGTAACGCAGAGAGCAATCCTACCAATACCGGGGTAACCAGTATTATTTTGTTTAGTTTCTACTGAGCAATAATGAAAACTCCATTAGAAAATGAACTTCCTTTGTCGCTACATTTGAAATGATTAATTATTTATGACTTATCTCTCGTGAGTCGCTAGCAAAAAAGCAACATATTTAGGGTGTAGTTGGCTTCCAATCATCTATTCACTCGCAATAAGACGTTGAATATGAAGTTTAATGAATTTTGATTGTTCCTATTGATATCACCACGAAAAATTGGCAAAGGTACAAAAATGGAACAACAAGGTCTCAGCGCGGAGAACTTAATTTTCCTAGCAGTTTTAAGGGTATTTGAGTGGCCAAAAGCATAATTGCCCAACGAACATAAGCAAACAAACGGCTATGGTTGAATTTTAACAGTCCGTCCGGTTTACATTTCGAAAAACTCACTGGAAATATAACCGGCAGCGCTTCACGCAAAAGGCCCGTATGAAA